TCAGGTATTTTGTATAAGTTTCCAATTTGAGTTTGTCTGCTGTTTTCTTTTGGCTACACCATTTGCTCTTTTGTGAAAAAATCTACCACACTGGTGAAGTTCCTTCTCAAAATATATTAGGGGTAAATGATATCAACATACATTTTCACTAATGATATTAAATTTCGATCAAGGTCGATAAACTTTTAATAGAAAAAAAAAAAGAAATCTTCAGTCTTTATAGAGTGAAGCAGCCCAATGTGGGAGGGGATCCTCACAGCTTCTTATATAAACATGAAACAATCTTACTTTCCACCCTACTTCTCTCTTTAATCCCTGGAAGGCCTGGTGCCCACTGAAACATTCGGAGATCTGAGCTATAATCTAGTTGCGTTCTCAGATGTCTCAGTACTGCCTTCAAGCTTCAGTTTATTTCATCTGTTTTCTAGTTGAAGATTTATCATTGTCTCCTCTCTTATTTTCTCCATCTTTGTGATTTTTTTTACCTTAAAAAAATCCCTTCTGTGTCATTTTAGTGGGTTTCAGGTACAAATGGAAGTAGCCATGTGCATCCTTAATTTGTCATCTTTAGATCCTTGGAGAACTCTCAAGAAGATTTTTAAGATAAACGTTTCAAAGTCTGACGAAGACACAGTGAACGTAGATGCAGTGCGGTTAGGGAATCAATATCAAGTGTACTCTCCAGAAAGCAAATTGCTAATACATCAAGACTACTAACATTTATCTCCTTCAACCCCAACAATTCCTCTGCCAGTAATCTAGATTGCTGGGGAGAATTAGCATTCTACACGAATCATTCAAATCAATTATTAAATATAATCTTCCCATTCGACTTAACATAGCTAAGATCATGCCTCAGCTCCCACCTCCAGCACGTTTTCTTCTCTCTTAAATCTATCTGCCTACTTGAGGCAATATCCAGCATTTCTTGCCTATATTATTACACTGCGCCCTCTATCTCACTAACGCCCAGAATTATTCAATTCAAAAAATGGCAAACCCTAGCCACGCTTATGCCTCTGCTTGAGAGCCCCCTCACCTGGAATTCTCCATGCCCTTATGATAATGCCACCACCTCTCGATAGGCAAAACTCTATCCTGCTTTCCAGGATAGCAACCACTTCTACAAACCCTTTCTTATACACCCTTCCTAAATGACTCAGTAGTTCTTTTGTAGTCCTCAACACTTTATTCCCATTTGTTTACTCCTCTCTGTCCTCCACTCAACTGTGCCATACCAATAGGCAGGACTGGTTTAATTTACGCTTTGGGTGTTGACCATGAGGCCTTGCACCCAGACATGAACTCTACCATATTTACTGATGATTTAGTCCCAGCCTTCAATTTTTTAGACTGCGAAAACCAACGTCCCAGAGAACCCTTAAATAGCAGAGCCAGGAGTAAGAACCTAATCTCCTGACTGTTCATCTAGCCTAACCCTCATGTTGGCAATGTCACTTTACCGGTTTCCTATGTGGTTATTCAGAAAAGCTCTCCTCACACTTCTGCAGTTGTTAAAATCGGCAACTGTGAATAGCAAAAACAGTAAAATATACGCCCTAGTTCCTCTGAGTTAAATTTTAAAAAATAGTAAAGACTCCAAATGTTCATCCAACTAGTGACAGCGGGGGGGGGCGGGCGAATATAACAAGCGACTTAACAACATCGAACGCTTCGGAACACACTGTAACATAGATGAACCTCCAAAACATGCTAGTGAGAGAGCCAGGACATCAGCCAATCACAAAGTATTCCATTTTTTATATGAACGTCCAGAAAAGGCAAATGTAACAGAGACAGAAAGCAGATGCTTTACCTTGCCTGGGACTAAAGGCTGGAATGGAGAGTGAGTGCAAATAGGCATAAGGGATCTTTCTCAGGTGACGAAAATGTTCTAAAACTGGATTGTGTGTATGTACACAACTCTGTAAGTTTATTGAATTGTGCACTTCAAATGGGTCAATTTTATGGTATGTAAATCATACTACAATAAAGCTGTTTTATTTTAAAAATGATGGTTATAAATATCCATAGTAACGAAGTAAAAATCATCTAGACCAGCACTGTCCAAGAGAAATATACTAGGGCACATATGTACTTTAAATTCTTTAGTAGCCACATTATAAAAGTAAAAAGAACAGGTAAACTTTCAATATATTTTATTTAACTTAATATATCCACAATTTATCATTTCAATGTGCAACTGTATACAAAAGTATTAAGTGAGATACTTGACAATCTTTGCTTCGTACTAAGTCTTGAATCCAACCATGTATTTACACTTTCACGCACATTTCAGTTGGGGACTAGCCGCATTTCAAGTGCTCAATAGCCACAAATGGCTAGTGGCTACCAAATTGGACAGTGCAGTTCTAGATCATTAACTTACAAAGAGATTATAAAAACTATACACTGATTATTGCTATGTCAAATTTTACATAGAAAAAATAGATGGAAACATAAAATGTTTAGGGTGGACAGAATCTATTTTCCATTTTTTTGAAAAGTAGGCATGTTTCTTTTTTAATGAAAATAATACTTACACTACATTATCTATAAAAAGAAATGGCCTTCTCCCACTAAAGGGGAAGGTGGGGAGTGGGGGGTTGTAGGAGGCTAAAGACAGCTCTGGAGTGAACTCGAGCTGGTTAAACAATAGCCTGCCAGCATGAGAACATGAAAATCACAGATGCCTTAGATTGAGGGAACACTTGCCAAGTCCAAAGGGCCTGGAGGATACTAGGAACTACCTATAGTAACGGCAGGCAGAGCAGGCAGACTGGGTGGTAAAGTAGCAGCTGGCCAGGGAAGCTGGTGAGCCTTGGAGCAGGAGAAATGCTGTGGAGGTGGAAGCAAAAAGCACATGTTTAAGAGTCTATGATAAAGTTTTTTAAAAAGAGGTAGGGACGGAACAGCTCCATGACCACAATGACCGTGTGTGTCGTGTGGTGTGTGTGTTGTATATGTGTGTGTGTGTGTTGTACAACATATATATGTATCTTAGCTGCCCAAATCCTTAGAGAATCGTCTTCTATTCTTACGGTTTTCTTGATATTACAGACAAGGACTTGTGCTGTGCTATAGGTCAGGAAAGAGAAGTCTGAAGAAAGTCAGAAATGTCTACCTGTGAAGAAGAATTGTGAAGGGCCTTTGATCATCTCAAGTCTGGAAATCGTTAACTGGGTGAGGTGGTAAGAGAAAAGGATAGCCGCCTCCAAGTGGAGGAAGATTGCTGAACTGTTGTAGGATGCCTCCCTTGTCCAATTCTCTAGATACCTCAATCCTTGGTTAAACATCACTAAATGTATAATTTAAAAATTTACAGAGTATATATCAAAACAAAGTGAAGGTAAGTAAATTTGGGTGAGAACCACTTAGTCCAAAGCCCTACTGTACAATCTCAAGGAGACAATTCAGTATTTAGTGACTTCCCATGCATTAGAGTAAGTAGTGTGGCCAGAGCAGGTGGAAAGGAGCAGGGAGGAAGAGTAGCACAGAATAAGATTTAAAGCAGAGATGGGGATCTGCTAATTCCTTGTTCCTGCAGGACTTCTGTTCAGGCTGTTTTAAAGATCCACACTAAAAAGGCGCTGACACTAACCAGTGGTAGAAATTCCCAGGAATATAAAGTCCCTCACAGGTAAGCCAGGTGTATACCCCACAAAATGTTCTATAGGGTGGGAGAGAAGTACACAGAGGAGCATAGACTCTAGTTTAACTTTTTGACCCTGTTAAATAAATAAAAAGACCTGTCCATTGTTTCAGGAAGGGTAACAGTTCGTAAAGGTTGCAGAGACTGCTAGCTGTACCCCGATATTCATTCTTGTTCTTTCATAGTAACATGACCTTCAATTTATAGGTGGTACATGACAATCCAGATTAAGAATTAAATTTCCCGAGCTGGGTGCAGTGGCTCACGCCTGTAATTCTAGCATCCTGGGAAGCCAAGGTGGGTGGATTGCTCGAGGTCAGGAGTTTGAGACCAGCCTGAGCAAGGGTGGAGACCCCATCTCTACTAAAAAATAGAAAGAAATTAATTGGCCAACTAAATTATATATAGGAAAAAAATTAGCCAGGTATGGTGGCACATGCCTGTAGTACCAGCTACTTGGGAGGCTGAGGCAAGAGGATCGCTTGAGCCCAGGAGTTTGAGGTTGCTGTGAGCTAGGCTGATGCCACAGCACTCTAGCCTGGGCAACAGAGTGAGACTCTGTCTCCAAAAAAAAAAAAAAAGATTTAAATTTCCCAGTTTCCCTTGCAGCTAGATATGGGCCTGTGACACAGTTCTCACTAACAGGAGATGAATAGAAATGATATGTGCCCTTAAAAGGAGACCTGTCAGCCGGGCGCGGTGGCTCACGCCTGTAATCCTAGCACTCTGGGAGGCTGAGGCGGGCGGATTGCTCAAGGTCAGGAGTTCAAAACCAGCCTGAGCAAGAGCGAGACCCCGTCTCTACTATAAATAGAAAGAAATTAATTGGCCAACTAATATATATATAAAAATTAGCCGGGCATGGTGGCGCATGCCTGTAGTCCCAGCTACTCGGGAGGCTGAGGCAGCAGGATTACTTGAGCCCAGGAGTTTGAGGTTGCTGTGAGCTAGGCTGACGCCACGGCACTCACTCTAGCCTGGGCAACAAGCGAGACTCTGTCTCAAAAAAAAAAAAAAAAAAAAAAAGGAGACCTGCCTACCCCTGCCCTCCCCCCATTTCCCTCTTCCACTGCCTGGAATGTGAATGTGACAATAAGCTATCCCTAGGTTACCCTCATCCCTAGGTGTTACCCTCAAACACATGGCCCAGAGGGTGTACCACCAGGTTGTGTACCTAACCACTATTATTTTGGGTCTCTATCAGAGCAGTCAAACCTATAGCCCAATTAAGATAGAACAGGAGTGAAAAAACGGGCAACAGTAGATTCCAGATGACAATCACCACCACTACCACAAAGAATGTCATTAAATCATTCCTACCCCTTGTCCCTGTTTCCTGGGCACTCACCGGGACACCATGGGACATGAGGGTGTTGGGATTCATGAGGGTGACAAGTTGGTGCAGGAGGTCAGGCTGGCTATCAAAAAGCTCAGGTGTCAGCTTCTTCATCACCTCTTCCAAATGTTCTGCTGCAAGTGATGGTACCCCATACCAGGTCTTTGGCTCACCCCTGTATAAGTAGAAAAGGGACATATAGAGTGGTCACACCTTAGTTGTGCAGGGAGCCCACCCTGACTGCCCCCGTGGCTCCCCAGGGCCCCATTCACCAGTGGAGATAGTTAATGGAGTAACTCCAGTGATCCTCAATGTGCCAGCAAAAGGCAGAGAAGACCATGCCCACGTAGAGCCAGGGCACCTTCATGCCGGAGATATCCGCATTGATGTGGCACAGTACTGACTGCTCCAACACTGGCATCACATTCAGATTCCAACCACTGGTAGCATACTCCTGTCAGGTAAGGTTTTTGTGGAAAGGGGATTAGAGTTATGCTAAGGAACTGAGACATTAGATCAGTTCCTTTAGCCTAGGGAACCTTAATTTTGGGGTCACAGACCTTTTTGAAACACCTAAGAAATATTACAGATTTTCTCCCCCAACCCCACCACCAAAATGCACAAACACAAAATTTCAATTCAATTCGTTTCAATTTCAGGGAGGTTTACAGATCCATCTACCAAAATACCTGCAAGTTAACAATCCCTCCTCTGGACCAAAATGTACCCTTCCGTTGAGGCAGGACCATGCCCTATTGTTTTCTGTCCATACAAATCCCACTTCCTGAACACTTCTTATTAATGAGCCAGGCACCCTGCCGGGTTATTTCATATACTTTCTCATTTCTTTTTTTTTTAATTTAGAGACAGGGTCTCACTATGTTTCCCAAACTGGTCTCAAACTCCTGGGCTGAGAGATTCCTCCATCTCAATTGCCCAAGCAGCTGGGATTACAGGCATGTGCCACTGTGCCTGGCCTCATTTAATTCTTTTAACAAATTTGCAAGGTAGATATTATCTGTTTTTTACAGATAAATGAGCTCAGAGAGGTGAAAGAACCCATCTCATGTCTGCACATGCCAGGTCAGGTATCAAGCTGTTCTTTATATGCATCATTTCATCTAAATCTTACAGAAACTGTCTAAGGCAGGCATAATTATCCCCATCTTACAGAGTCATTAAGTCTTTCAGATACTAAATGACTTCCCTAAGCTCACACAGCTGACATATAATGATGAATCATCCACTCACCTCCTCCTCAGGGGTCAGGTGCCGCTTACTGTCACTGACAGGGAAACCGCTGCCAAATTCTTTGGAATGGATGTCAGCTCCATACTCAACAGTCACATCTTCCTCAATGCTATTCACTAGTCGCCAGAACTCCTTCTCCACAAGTTCTGTGGGTACCATCTGAGGGAACAGGGGTAGATGACTGTGGCCCATCATATCCTGGCCCCAATGACCCAGGTGAACTGAAACCATCAAGCACTAACACCTATGAACCTAGCCCCAGCACTATCCCAGCCCTCCATCACCTACGTGCACGGGCATGTTGAAGTAGTCAGCTTTAAAAGAGTCAGCCATCTCGCCAAAGCTCTGCAGAGTGTATTCCCGGGTAGCCTGCTCAAAGCCAAAGGCTTCAGGGGGCCGCTTACACTCCTGAAACCCAAAGGAGAACTGTCACCAAGACAGAGACAAAGAGGTGAATAATCCTCACAAGTGGAACTGGAATATGTTGTAGGAGTAGGGAGGGAGAACAGCCCTAGGTCTATACTCAAGGCCCCTGAAACAGGCCTTATTTTATTTACAGCTCTATCTTTTTCTCTCACCATTTTGGCTTAGTCTTTTCATTCCCCACATATACTTCCACCATGCTTTTGCTCATAGTTCCTCCCTATTGAAATGTCCTCTCCCACTTTCTTTCACTGATTCTTCAAAACCCAACTCAAGTCCCGGAAGACCTCCATCATCACCACAGCCCACGTTCTTGTCTTCCTTCAGGTCCTTACCTAAACCACAGGCTGACTTTAATATGCCATCCTATGCTCTTCTGCAACTATTTTTTTCTTTCAAGCTAAAATGTAAGTTCATACGGGGTAGAGAAGCTTTTTATGCCAAGACTAGAACTATAAGCCTGGGAAAATGGCACTGAATATTCTAGTACCCTGGAGGATGGAAAACAAAGGCACCAGCTTCTATAGTATCAAACCCTACATTATTCCTTTTCTTTAGACTGTCTCAGAAGACAGAATATGGGTCTACCTCACTTTGTACCTATGTTCATAATATTAGACGAGAACTGTATGTATCACAAAGTCAGACACACGCCCTGCTCATGTCTGAAAAATAAATGTCTATCTGGCTCATAGCCACTTAGAGAAGAGAGTCAACTAGAGCTGACAGTCTTCCTCATCTATGATACTGTTGGGTATCCAAACTCATCCTCACCAGAAACTCCACCATTGCCAAGGCCATTACACACTGCTCTGGCTTTCCTCATCTGTGTGTGTCTGCATGTGTGTATATGTGCATGTGCACACTCAGTCTCTACAATCACTTTTGTGGAGCCCCTAAGATAAGGCAAGAGGCCATCGATGTCTGCTCTCCATATGTCCAGAGGGACATGTAGAGGTGAGCACTGAGAATTTGGAGAAGGTAAGTAGTTCATGAAATGTACCTACCCTACTTCCCAGCCACTTGGCCCTCACTGTTGCTTCAGCTGCTCTCCTTACTGCCACCCTTACTGCCCTTACCTGCACCAAGCACACTCTACCCCCTGTACCTCTACTCCTGCTAGTCTCCATCCCCCAGGTGTGAAATGCCTGCCTACCTCTTCTACAAGCCTATATCACTGCAAACCAATCTAAATATCATAAGAGGAAAACTACCAAATAAATATTATGCTCATATGACAGATTGTCTAAAAGAAAAAAAAATATCTTCAGTGAGTTTAATTTAAAATCATTTAAAATGATTATGAAGTAACAATAAAAATACATAGTTACAAGATCCCAAACTTGTTAGTTACCGTGTTTCCCTGAAAATAAGATGGGGTCTTATATTTATTTTTCCTCAAGAAGATACCCTAGGGCTTATTTTCAGGCGATGTGTTCTGTTTTTTAAGTACGGTACAACAATCTACATTGATTCAAATATAGTTAAATCGTCTTCTTCTGGAACATCATCATAACTCTCCAAACCCCGAATTCCATCCTGAATTTCTTGTGACTCTATTTCTTTTAGAACCATTGGCCCCAATCTCTCATGTCAAGCAATGGAGCTCTCATGGGGCAGATGAAAAGGGATGCTCATCTTCTTTACCACGCCTCCGCGACAAAATGCATGGGTTGTGCAGATACGCTCCTGCACTGCCTAGTGATGGGCAGATAGCCATGCCCATCACTAGGTCTTATTTTCTGGGTAGGGCTTATATTGTGCAAATGCTTAGAAATCCTGCTAGGGCTTATTTTATGGGTAGGTCTTATTTTCGGGGAAACACGGTATATATAAGCAACAGCAAAAGGATGAGAAGAAAACATACCAGACTATTAATCATGGTTATCTCTAGGTAGTGGGATGGTAAGGTAATTTGCGTATTTTCTAAGCTTTCTTTAAAAAATCAAGCAAAAAAAGTGGAAATAAAAAGAACATTTTTTTCTTAATATTCCTGTCTTTCAAATCTCATTCCTGACATCCTCCCTGATTACTACCCTCGGTTATTTTCCTCTCCTCTGAACTTCTACACCTCAGAGCTTCTAACACATAATTTAACATCTGCTTATTCGTCATTACATACAATCTAATCATGACACTCATGTCCTGTGTCCCTAGGTGGTCTCGGATCTCCGAAAGGACAGAAACAAAGGTTGAGTCTCCTCATCTTTCTCCCAAAGCTCTACCCCTGGAACCCAAAATGTAAGACTGTGGCTGAGCTAGGGGGCCGTCCTCAGTAAGTCCAGATGAAGGCAGGCAAGGATACCCTATGAGGCAGATGTGGACTGGGGCTGGCCTTACCGCCATGACACACTTTGGGCACCGCCAGACACCCTTAGGGATCTCAGGCAGAGGAGGCAGCAGACAGAAGATATGGTAGTTGTCATCACAGCCATCGCAGAGCAGGAGCTTGTCATCTTCATCCCCTCGGGAACACATCCGGCACACATATGACTCGATCTGCCAGGGGAAGGAAACATCAACCTAAGCCCTGTCCAGCCTTCAAACATCAAGCTCTTCCAGAAAGTACTCTAGTCTAGAGAGCTCTCCACTGGAAATCTGCTATGCTTGTTGGTCAAATAATTCGTGGCCTTGTACAGGCTAGTCACGCTAGCACTGGAGTTCAAATGCATTTATGTACCATCCCCCCAAATAAGCAGGAAGAGCTGTGAGAGCAATCTTTATCATTTAGTCTTGAATCCTCGCATTTTTATTCATTCAGTATACACTTACTGAACCCATGTTCAGCACTACACTGGACTCTGGTACAGACAGAGATGGGTAGGACATAGCATCTGCCTTTCATGGACATATAGTACTCTGGAAACGTGTGTTCATAAAAATTAAAAACTGCCAATAGTAGCCCATAAAGGATATTGTGGGAGCCTAGAGAAGGAAGCACTCAAAGAAGCTGGAAATAAAGAGGGATGGCCTTGAGAAAAGACTTCGTTGAAAAGGTGACACTTGAAACTGGAAGGCAAGCTGAAGCTTGGCAATGGGGCAGAGCACAGGTGGAAACTCTTCCAGGCTGAAAGCAACAGCATGTGCAAAAGGATGGGGAAATGAAAAAGCATGGCGTGCCTCAGGGGAAAACAAATGAACATACCTACAAGTAGTTCAGTGTGGCTATAGCAGAGGAGTGACGTGGGCAGTGCTGAGGAATGAGGCAAAAGGTCAGCAGGGACTGGATCATGCATGGTAATGAGGAGCTTAGCCTTTATCCTAAAGCAATGGAGAGTGAGTCTCCTCTGCACCCTTCCAGCACTTCATGTTGACAGCACTTGATCACCCTTTCTTGTTCTTTTTTTTTTTTGAGACAGAGTCTCGCTTTGTTGCCCAAGCTTTGTGAGTGCCATGGCGTTAGCCTGGCTCACAGCAACCTCAATCTCCTGGGCTCAAGTGATCTTTTTGGTGAGTAGCTGGGACTACAAGCATGCGCCACCATGCCCGGCTAATTTTTTCTATATATATTAGTTGGCCAATTAATTTCTTTCTATTTATAGTAGAGACGGGGTCTCGCTGTTGCTCAGGCTGGTTTCGAACTCCTGACCTCGAGCAATCCGCCCGCCTTGGCCTCCCAGAGAGCTAGGATTACAGGCGTGAGCCACTGCGCCTGGCCCCCTTTCTCATTCTTTATTTCATGTGAGTTGACCCTGTTTCCTCAATTAAGTGAGCTACATGAGGGCCGGGCCCACCAGGCCCACTTTTCTGTTTAATGCAACCCAGTCCAATGCCATGCTGGGAAAATGCCCACCGAAGGGACAAGAAGCAGAGCATTGGGAAATTAGGGCTGGGTCCTTACAAACTGGGCATTGCTGTGGTTCCTCCGCAGCCTCATGGTCATCTTGGTGCAGGGCTCTGGGCTGTGACTCAGCTCCTCCTTGCTCTCCAGAAAGGTCTTAGGTGAGGTTGACTCCACTTTCACATCCCCACCTAACTCCTCCTTCACCACTATAGTGGGGGGACACTCAGGCCCTTCCTTATCTGGAAGAGAGAAAAGTGGCTCTAAACATAGGTCACTTAGGGCCCTGTCTCCTCTCCCCAGAGGAGACCATCCCGAGCCTGTCAGGCCTCACCTTTCTTTCGCAGGGTCTTATCCTTGGCCATGAGGCCTAGGCCCATCATCTTGGGGCCTGCCCCATAGATCTGGAGCTTCTTCAGCTCTGGATTCTTTTCAATGTCTTCCTCTGTGGGTTCCGGCTGGGAGAAAAGAGGAAATGAATCAAGAACGCTATCTGGGGCAGACTGCCCTATCCAAAAAGAACAATAGCTCAGACTATATGTCATCTGAGCTGATGCTGGGGGCTGAGGCACAGACAGGCCAAGGGAAGAATTCACAGTTGCTTTTTGGAGACTGAGGGTGAGCTCCTCAGCCCTCTCTTAGAAAAGAATTAAAGACAGGATCTCAGTTTACTAACTGTAAGATGAGAATATTAACTCCTACCTTATAGTTATGAGAGGGTTTAGGGATAACATATATGAAAAAATTAACACTGCTTGGAATTACCAATGAATGGTAGTGACTAATGTGATCTGCTAAATTGCATGCATCAGTGAGCCGAGGAAAACTGTCTACCTTGTTCTCTGTTATATCCCAGGGCCAAAAAGAATGCCTGGCACATAAACTTCTGCCTGAAGGTAAGATATAAGGAGCCGGGTGCAGTGGCACACACCTATAGTTCTAGCTACTCAGGAGGTTAAGGAGGGAGTATCACTTGAGCCCAGGAGCTTAAGGCTGTAGTTTCCTATGACTGCACCTGTGAATATAGCCACTGCACTCCACCCTGGGCAACACAGTGAGACCCTTTCTCTTAAAAAAAAAAAAGAGAGAGAGAGAGAGAGAGATATTAGGAGAAAGAAGTGTTCTACCTCCACAAGCAGTGTGAATCAGGAAAGGAACAAGACAGGCAAGGACAGACATGCAAAAGAGGCCATATAGCAAAAGCAGTTATACAAACAGATCAAGATCCAGCTCAGCTGAGAGTGGGAGGGGAAAAAAGCAAGAGTGAAGCCAGAGAGAGGTACACTAAAGCATAGAAGAACTCAGAGAACAAGAGAAAGAACAGTGAACAGGAAACATAGTCTTGGCCAGAGGGAGGGAGAGGACTCTCTCTAACCAAAAGCTCTAAGTTAGAAGAAGGGAAGTACTCACATCAGGCTGCAGTCTCTTGGCCCGCCGGCCATAGCTGTTGAACTTGGAAGGCTGCACAGACTGTCGAAGGGGGATGCTGTGGGGTTTGTATTCCTTGTCCTTTTCTTCATTATCAAATGGACGTGTGTTACACTGCTGAAGACGGGTGAGGGATAAAGGTCAGGGTGTGGGGCTCCAGCCCCCCAAAGCAAGAACTTTTCTCTATCCTCACCCAAAATGACAACCAAAGTTGTGGTCCACACACTAATAGCCCCTGTCCAACTGGTCTTTATCATTGACACCAGCACATACTTTGGGAATTCTTCTAAATGCCTTTGCTTATATGATTCCTTCTCCTAACCACCTCCCCCACCACCCAACCATCTCCCCAACTAACTCAGACTCCATCTCTTCCCAGACCTCTATAGCCTGAATGACCTCTCGCTTCTCTGAATTCCTCTATCAGTTAAAACTTTGTTGGCCGGACGCAATGGCTTATGTTTGTAATCCTAGCACTCTGGGAGGCTGAGGCAGGAGGAATGCTTGAGGCCAGGAGTTTGAGATCAGCCTGAACAAGAGCAACACCCCGTGTCTACTAAAAATAGAAAAATTAGTCAGGTGTGGTGGTGTGTGCCTGTAGTCTTAGCTACTTGGGAGGCTGAGGCAGGAGGATCGCTTGAGTCCAGGAGTTTGAGGTTGCAGTGAGCTATAACAATGCCACTACACTCTACATGGGGCGACAGAGTGAGTCTTTGTCTCAAAAACAATAAAAATAAAAAACACCTTGTCACATAACAGATAGTAAGCTGGCCCTACAGGTAACTCCAAGACCTCTGACCCTGGGCAGTATGGGAAGAGAATAAACATTACTAGGAAAAGACTAGAGTCTAGCTTCTAGGTCTCCATCTACCAAACCAGTTCCAATAAAAGCAAGTGTGGAAATATGTGTCTAGGGAGTAAAGCCTCATACCACCCTAGCCTGGCATCCTTACCACAAGGTTGGCTCCAGACTGGTACATCTCATAGGGATAAACGATGCGTTCATAGTGGGAGCGTAGCAGGGAGCCAATGTTTTTGCCTGGTGGGTAGTTGAGACGCTGGGCCACCCGAGCCCACCGACGGTCCTTGCAAATGGCTTCATAACCACCTTCCTCCACCACAATCTGAAAGGATAAGCAGGAAGGAACATGGATGTCCTGTGTATATGTACATGAGGGAATAGGCCTATAGAAAGGGCAATGAGGGCCACTCTAGTCCTGCACTTCACTGGGGGTTACCACCTTTCCCAATCTCAAATTGCAGCAAGAAATGAAGATGTTTTGATGACAGCTTGTGTGCTACCAGGCTGTGCCCCTTGCACTGCAGCCTACAAATCCAATATCCAAACCAAGGGGACCCCTAGAGTATCAAGGCTATTGGGGTGGGGTGGGAGGTGTTTGAGAAAAACCTGTTCTTACTTTGCTGAGACTGTAGAGGTCCAAGATCCGCCGTTCTACATTGGGAATCTTTAAGGAGGAGCCCTGGATTTCCCAGAACTTGGCAATCTGGTCCAAGTAGTTCAGTTTCACTCTCGTCTGGGCCTGAAGAAGAAATGGCTCAAAGAGACTGGCCAACCCCTCCCCCGGACCACTGTCTTTTGGCCCAATCTTAGGGAAGGAGAGAGGAAATAAAGCAGCCCACATATACTACCTAGGGCTTCTCCCTATGAACTGGATCTCAGAGTCTAGGTAGTACCTAGCCCCATCTCTCTCTCATCTCTATCACCTTCCAGTCAATCAGAAAAGTTCAAGGTCCCAAAAGAGAGGGTCACAACAGCCAAAGCTTTACAGACACTCTCTCTTAATCTTCCTGACAGGGTTGTATGAGTATTATCATCTCTTGTACAGATGAGGAAACAGGCTCAAAGGAGCTGGGTCACACAGTAAGCACCAAGATATCTAGGTGCCAAATAACTTAAGTTTTAGCTTTCCCTCTGCTATTGAGTTGCTGTATAGCCCTGGTTCCACTCTCTGGACCCCCATTTTTTAATTACAAAAGGAAAATAAAATAACTGCACAGTCCACTTACCCCAGAGGGGTAGACTTAACGAGGGGACCAGTGAAGACCTTCTGGAAACTTCCAAATTGTACCTAAGCTCTAGGCATGCATGTTTCAGAGAATGAAGGCTCTAAAAGAGTATACGTACCTCCTTATGCACCACAAAACTTATTCCATGGTAGCTGAAGAGAGAGAGTGCATGGTACAGGCAGAATGGCCTAAAGAACCAAGATTGGTGTACCAAAGCAGCACTGGTAACTGATCCTGGCTAGAAATAAGGCATATACACCATGCTTCCCTGAAATCTCAGTGACCCAAGAAGGACTCCCAAAGGCTCCAAGTCTATAACCTCCTCACTCTAGTCAGAGGGCCCAGTTCTAGGGAAAACTAGATAGTCACTAACATTCACTACACTGCCCTGATCCCATTAGGGGGAACCAGGACAGTATTTTCTTTCTTTTCTTTTCTTTTCCTTTCTTTTTTTTTTTTTTTTTGAGACAGTCTCACTCTGTTGCCCTGGCTAGAATGCCGTGGTGTCAGCCTAGCCCACAGCAACTTCAAACTCCTGGGCTCAAGCAATCCTTCGCCTCAGCCCCCCGAGTAGCTGGGACTACAGGCATGTGCCACCATGCCCAGCTAATTTTTTCTATATATTTTTAATTGGCCAATTAATTTCTTTCTATTTTTTAGTAGAGAAGGGGTCTCGCTCTTGCTGGTTTCGAACTCCTGACCTTGAGTGATCCACCTGCCTTGGCCTCCCAAAGTGCTAGGATTACAGGCGTGAGCCACCATGCCTAGCCCAGGATAGTTTTTTCTGTTTTATAATTAAGAAAAACTAAGATCTATTTGTAGAAAGAAATAACCTATATGGCTCCTTAGCTGTTAGAGCCCTTAAGGGGCCAGGAACACTACTCCTTCAACCTCAAACCCTTAGCTTTCTGAACTTGGCCCCACCCCTGCTCCTTTCCCTCATTAGCCAGCAATCCCTCTCTAGAAAACCTGTCCTTATCCCATGCTAGACAACACCTTGCCCTAGCTGTACCCCCACACCCCACAGACCTGGACAGATCTATTTCTCTAAGGAACTTGTACCCTCTGCAAGAGATGACTCTTGCACTGACCAGAAGAGCCCTTAGACTGAGTCTAGAACAGTAGGTCTCATGGGGGGTGATTTTGTTCCCCAAGGGACATTTAGCAATGTCTAGAGGCATATTTGGTTGTCATAACTGGGAGAGGATATTACTGGCATTTAATGGGTAGAAGCCAGGGATGCAGATAAACATTCTACAATGCATAGGACAGCTCTCAGAGAACAAAAAACATCTGGCCCAAAATGTTAATAGTGCCTAGTTTGAGGAACTCTGGACTAGAAGACAAGTAAGCTTTTGGGTTATAGTTATTCAGCTGGGCCTAACCCTCCCACCCCCCAAGGACATCTAATAAGGCTTGTGGTTACATAATAATGGGGGAGGGGTGGCAGCATACATTTTCCATGGAAAACTCCAGCTTCTTACCTTGAACTTTCTTCAGGGCACCCACTCTCATTACCTGAGGACATTCTCAAGCCCCTAGTGGAGAACCCCACCTGTCCATGTAAAAGGCCTAGACTTCCTGTACAGAACAAAATGGAGAGGGAAAAGCCTACCTGCTTGACCCCTTGCCCAAGTCTTTAACCATTCCAGCCTCCACACAGACGAGTTCTTGTTCCCATCCATCTACCTCACCTCCCACCTTACCAAGCACCACCAAAGGAAGATAAGAAGCCCAGGGCTGTGTGGGAATTGAATACATGAGGCCACAGTCAGATGGCCAAGGAAGAAAGGGTCTCAGTCAGCACCACATTTCCCTTTTGTTGACCAGGTAGGGGAGGTTAGTTGACAGGGGAGCTTCAGAAGCAGCACACCACTGCAGAAAAGGGACACCCCAAGTCTTGCAGCTACGAAATCAGAAATGCTAAACACCCCTGCCTGTTGGTTATACTTAGAGTTCTAAAGCTTCCCTCCATGCCTTAGGCATACCAAAAAGATGCAATTTCACAGAAGAGAGAATAAAGGCCTAGTTAGGTAAAGGACCTTAGCCAGAGAAGGTATGAGGGAAGTGGGATCAGCGCTCAGGTTCCATTCTTCCAATCCCACCACCATCTGCTAGTGTTCTTACCTCTAGCTCATTCAGCCTCTGGATTCGGGGGGTAAACCTAAAGTTGTCCACTTCCACAGCAAAGGGTGGCTGCCAGTCCTGAGAGGATAGAGAAGGGAAAGGAACTTGGGTTACCTCAGCATACTGTAAGACCAGAGAGCACCAGAAGCAGCACAGAACCCCATTCATGCCTTCCCAGATCTCTAGCCACCACAGGCTCTGTAGCCTGGCAAACACCCAACCTACCCATCCCCATCTCCCCCTAGAACTCACAACAGGGCCTAGCAGCCCCTCAAGTCCACATGCATATGCGCTGGGAAACTTCTCCTGAGTCCCTCCCAACAGTACAGTGCCAGGATTTCAAGAAATAGTGAGATGGGGCCCCAAACAGTTGACCCCAAACCCTCTCCACACCCACATTAACCCCTGTCCCGTAGGCATATGCTGTAGGACACATAGTCTAGGAGTACTGGAAAGCACACAGGATCTGGGGTCAAAAGACCTGGGTTCATGTACTAGCTCTATGACTTATAAGATATGGGATTTTACCTTTATAAATCTATTTTTCATTCGTAAGAAGAGAATATGAACTCTAGCCCTGGCTCCCTCATGAGACCAATATGGGAAATAAACTGGCTTTTAAATGAAAATGTTATTCGAAGGAGTCATCATTAAGAGTTCACATTTAAGGCTGATCCCACCATCCAATATACAAGCAGGGTAGCTCAGCTCCAATTCTGGCAGGATTTAAAGGTCTGGGCCTTTAATATCCATTCTCTCAGTTTAAAGGGCCTGAGATAGACACTGTAGGGCATGCGTCCTCAAATTACAGCCCGAGGCCACATGCAGGTGTTTTTGCCCGTTAGCTTTTCACTTCAAAATAAGATATGTGCAGTGTGCATAGGAATTTGTTCATAGTTTTTTTTTAAACTATAGTCCGGCCCTCCAACAGTCTGAGGGACAGTGAACTGGCCCCCTGTTTAAAAAGTTTGAGGACCCCTGCTGTAGGGAAAAGCAAGGAACAGGGAACAAGAATCTGTATCACTCACCTGGTCTGGAAGGCTTCCAGTGGGTCCTCTCTCATATACCTGCCTAGTACAGGAAGAGGCAGGGAAGGACGCCCTAGGGGTAAGTGCTGGGATGCCCAACTGACTGTGGTAGCAAAGAATGGGAGGATTTGGGGAGGGAAGTCAGAGAAAGATAATGAAAGTAGAGGAGACTCTACCCTGCCAAGTTGGAAATTGTTCTATCCTGCCTAAAAGGTAGCTGTGAAGACTCTCCTCCCAACACCCCCCCCCAACCTCCCACACAGCCCTCTTCTCCCCAGAGCCCTGGCTCCTGTTGGGGTGGCAAAAAGAACCTAGAGTAACCTAGACCAATGCTCTAGGGGAAAGTGAAGCCCAGAGAAGAAATGTGATTTCTCCAAAATTACATGCTAACGGTCGGGCCAAGACTAGAACCCATGTCTTCTGACCTCCAGACCAAGGTTCTTTGCACTACACCAAGGCTACCAGTGTTCATACACACATGCATACATATGGAAGAGGGGGAGGGGTACAAAGAGAGAAAAAAACATTGACCTCTACTGTAGGCACACATTTAGAAAAGGGGCCAGAGGACTCATACTTGCATGCACACATACTGCCCCACCCCACTGCACCAGCCAAAGCAGGTAGCAAACATCCGGGGCTCCGTAAGCAGGGTTTAAAAAAAAAAAGTGGGCCAAAATGTTACAGCTCAAGCCCAGACAAGCTCCCCATGTCCTCTTGCCTCCTATCAGAATAGGGCGCTCGCCCCAGCACAGACGGCCCAGGTAGAAAGGTACTCAAACCGAAAACCAGGTACCCTTCTTTCGTGCTGAATCAAGTTCTAGACAAGAATCAGTGCAAATTCAAGCACCTGAAGGAAATGGCAGAACTGGAATCCTAGAGCAGGAGCTGTGCATGCAACAGATAGCTGGGGAAGGTCCAGCAAACTAGCTGCCTTTATTCCCATACTACCGTGTGCCAGATGCTTGGTGTGTTGGCATTATTAAAATGTGGTTGGCTACCTGATGATCAAGGCAAGATTCAAGCTTCCCTGTGTCCACTCCAGAGTACCAACACTCTCCTCCCACCCATCTTTCCCAAGAGTAGCAGTCACCTGCCCAGAAATTCAGACCCCAAACCACCCTGCCTCAGGCAAACCAATTCCCAGGTACCCACCCATACACAGGTTTCCACCCTGGGCCCAAGCATCACTTGGGTGAGTACTTCAAACTACAACCAGAAGAACAGCTGCCTAAAGGTGGCCTAGAAGCAGCCTTAGAGGAGGAAAAAACAAAACAAAACCCAAGAGCCAGGTCTCTTGTATTGGAGGGAAGCACACTGTGGGGTAGAGAAAAGAAATATAACAAAGGACAGCCCCCTGCTGGCCACACACACACACACCCACCCACCCACCCACCTGGGGACACATCACTCTTCCCTTTCCTGGTCCCCCAAAGCAGGGTAACACTTACCCAAGGCCAGCCTGCCCAGATAAGTCCAAGATAGAAAAAAGGAAATTCAGGCTTCAACTACACCCTATGTGAGATATGCCTCTTTCCCACAGGCTTGCCTGACCACTTTCAGGGAGTGCCTAATTGAGGCTGCCCAAGACTCCTGTCTCTCCCTTATGCTAGCCTTCCTGACCTCTCACTACCTACTGCCACTCCCTCACCATGGACAAGGATACCTCAGAGATCTGTGGCCAGGCTCCAACAAGGAAGAAATTAGATTACCCAACACCTCCCATAGGATCCATCTGAAACCAGCCTAGATCTGTGGCTGAGTACCAGAAAGCATCAAGTTGGATAAGGAGGCCTATGGTGCCCTCCTCAGGTGGGAAATGAAGCTTCCTATCCCGTTTCAGCCAGGAGACACCCACCCAAAAATACCCTGTTCCAGCCAAGCTCAATTCCTGCCCTTGTAATTCCAAATGATCACCGAACAACATATATCATCATTTCTCCTCCATGCCGGTAAGGCAACAGCCTGTCCCAGCCCTTGGGAAACTGCTGGCCTGAAGCCAAGCCTAGAAGGAAAGATATGGCCTTTGTTACTGACCTGTGAGAATCAAGTGTTCCAAAAGGGACAGAATTCCATAGCTCCATTGTGTTTATGGGGACCCAAGAATGGCCTATCCTCTGGGACCTCCTACATCCTAGGCTAGAACAGAGTAGAAATCTTTTGCAAACTCACACTCTACCACCAAGCTGACTGGTCCAAGCCTCTTTATAGGAAGTCAAGTCTGGGAGGTGAAGTCCAGGAAAAGACCCAGGAAAACGGGACAATTCTCTGAAATCACCTCAGGGGAGACAGATAGAACATTTCCTGTGAGACTGATTTCCTGACTGGTCCCCTAGGCCAGGATATTATCATAGATGAATTGGCCTGTCAGAGTATGAGCAAACATGAGTCAACCCACATAGGGGCAAGCCAATGACCACATCAAACATCTTCACAGTCACAATAATTACCACTTATCTAGTGCCTCCTACAAACAGACACAACCAGGTTTACTCCAATCCTCTAAATGACCATTCCTGGGACCCATTTCACAGGCTCAGAGAGCTTACGTTTACTTGCTCAAGGTCACACAGCTGCTAAGCTTCAAAGCAGAGTTTTGAACTCAGGTCTGCCTCTCTTTAGAACTGTAATCTTTCCATTACACCATGCTGCCTGCCTTAAGGGAAGTGATGACAACAGATGGGAGAAAGGCCTTATTCAGTGCAGCCTTAACCTAGATAGATAGATGTGCGGGGTGCCTCTCTGTGTACTCTTTCCAGCCCACTAGTAATCTCTGTTTTGAGCCAGGAGTGTTCTGAAGAGTGGTGGTGGCGGTGGGTCTCTGACCCCAGGTCACTTGTGGGCCTCAGACCATGAGAGGACCCCGGCCCCAGCACCCTTTCCCTGACCCGCGTAGCATCCACAAGGGGCCCAGCCATCCATCTCCGCACACCTCGTACTGCCCTCTGCCCCAGACTTCTCAGCCGGCTACCCTACTTCTTCATCCCTGGCCTCGCCGCCGGCGACCACCAGCCCCAGGCCTTACCGCGGGTGGGCGGATCTTGCAAATGCCCGACTTCTCCGCGATGGGCCTGATTTTCGCGATGTAGCCAAGAGGGTCTCGGAACTCGGCCCAGCTAGGCTCGAACACCGGGCACTCCGGCGGCGGTAAGAAGTCGTCGGACCCCGGCTCCATGGTGGGCCGAGGTCTGAGCCAAGGATCAGGAGGACTTGGGCCGCCCTTAAGGACTCATGGCGCCGCGCTGTTTGAAGCCGAGGCACTGCTCGGGGACTAGGCCCTAAGCCGGGCGGCCGCCGCCCGCCGAGTGACTTAGGGGGGACGTGTGGCTGTCGCACTCTGAGAGTCTCAGGCTGACGCTACTGCTACCGTCTCTTCGTCCTGCTCCCTGCTCCGTTTCTTCCAAACTCTGCTGCTCCCTCTCAACTGCCACAGCCTTCACCACCACAGTCACCTCACAAGCGCCGCGGCCTTCATCGCCGCCGCCGCCATCTTGGTTTGTCAGCGTCTGTCCGCCCCTTCACCACAACAAACCGGATCCTTCCGCGACGTGTCTCTCCGAGCCTCGTACACTTTGCGTCAGGCCAAGCCCTAGAAATACTTCATAACGTGGGTACTGAGATAAATAGTCTGGTATGGGTTCCCTATTTGGAAGTAATTATTCAAAAGTACCACTCTGACTGAGAGAAAATAGTTCTTCCCAGCGGCGGAGGAGCAAGATTGTAATTAGTTTACCGGATCCTTTTCCCGGATGGGCCGACCGTGCACGTTTAAAGGCCAGTGGTGCGCATGCGCGTTATGGAGACAGACCGGAAGAGGAGCTGGCGGCGGTGGGTGGTGGGCCCTAGGTGGCATCCCCTCGCTGACCTCAGCCAGATTGCTAGTCGTGCCCCAGCGTTTTCTGACGCTTCTCCCTCGTCTTTCTTTCTTTTTTTTTTTGAGACAGAGTTTCGCTTTGTTGCCCAGGCTAGAGCGAGTGCAGTGGCGTCAGCCTAGTTCACAGCAACCTCAAACTCCTGGGCTCAAGCAATCCTCCTGCCTCAGCCTCCCAAGTAGCTGGGACTACAGGCATGCGCCACCATGCCTGGCTATTTTTTCTATATATATTAGTTGGCCAATTAATTCCTTTCTATTTACAGTAGAGACGGATCCCGCTCTTGCTCAGGTTGGTTTCGAACGCCTGAGCTCAAACGATCCGCCCGCCTTGGCCTCCCAGAGAGCTAGGATTACAGGCATGAGCCACCGGGCGGGCCTTCCCTCGTCTTTCTTTGTGGGCCGGGGAAGGTGGTTTGGGGTGCCCTGGATCCCTTCTGTTGGCCCACAGGTTAAGGGAGCTACACTAGGCTGGCAGCTCTAGCCCTCAACATGTCTAGGGCTTTGAAAGAAGGAAGGCAGCAGGCTGCTCACTCCCCTGGGATTATGGAGTTTTAGAATCCTGGGTCCCAAATAGATTAAGGAAATATTTATTTCGTCCAACGTTACACGTAGAGGTCTCTCAGAGATGGGGTTTCCATTCTTACCCTCAAAGAGTCATTGGCAGTCAGCATTTTAATGAATGCTTTCAACTGTTCCATATGCACTTTTACTGTGTACACATTTGTGGCGTGTACTTATACAAAATAAGCCTGTGTGCAGTTATATTTTAATTATTGGATGTTTAGCAACAGCATATTTATCCATCGCCTACCAGTGCCTACTGTATAAAACACCTACTGTTTCCTCGTTTGTGAGCCTACCGTGTACTTATAAAACATCTGTGTACATTGATTGTATTTATTGTGTATAGCCCCTATGCATTTGAGTACCTACTACATTACATCTACTATCGTGTGCATGTTCTTTGAGGAATTTATGAATAGGTTCGTTGCAGCTACAGTACTTTGAGTATCATCAAACCACTACTTTATCCACATACATCAGGCATCTACTGCTTTGAAGATCATCTATATCATTCATCAGTTGTGGGCTTATTGCATATAGTTTGAGCACCTACTATGCACATATTTGAGTACTTGTGTAGATGCTGATTAAGTGCTTATTTTGTGTTCTTCCTCCAGACTATGAATTCCTTAAGGGCAGGGACCATGTGGCTTTATATATCCTTAGCACCTGGAATGTTGAGCAGTAAATGAATGTTGAGTGAACAAGAAAATGGTGTCCTTAGTAAGTCTATACTGACTGCAAATAATGTATACTCTTTACAAACATTTCCTGTGTATATTAAGCATCTACTATAAGCTTGAATATGTTTGAGGGGGGTGAGGAGTGTCATTCCTTCATCCAGTTAACTGTTCCTAATCAGATATTGTGCCAATTAAGTACATTCTGCCTATTTCAGGACTGAGCTAAGGAAATCCTAGCTGAGGGAGCATGGTGCACAGGTGGCTCACACCTTGGGGTGAGACAGGCATGCTTTCCTGTCCCACCAGCTTTATCATGTCCTAGTTATGTAACCTTGGACAAGTCCCAACATCTGAAACTGAAATGAAGATAATACCTACCTTGCAGGATTGTTGTATATTTGGCACATAGCAGGCCCTCAGTATCTGGTAACTGTTATTTTTATTTCTGAGAGTCAACAACCAATATGTCAAAACTCATAAAAATCTCCTTTGTGCCAGCCATTGTGCTAGTGCTTTCTTATTTTTTATCACTTGAATCCTTATATTACCTTGAATGTTTGGGATCTTTATCCCCACTTGGCTAGTGAGGAAACTTGTCCCAAGTAAATACAAATAGTAAGTGACATCTCCTTTCTAGTTTTCTAGATGTCAGGGGAAACCTCAGCTCCTCCCCACCAGAAACACAGGTGAATGATCCAACTGAACAACCATCTGGACAGGAAACAGAAAGCTAGGAAAAGTGATGCAAATCATAATAATATCACTAGCGTCTCATGGATAAGCATCTAATAATCTCTCTTTCATACCAATTATTTCCCTTAATCTTTTTTTTTTTTACAGCGTCTCACTCTGTTGCCCAGGTTAGATTGCCTTGGCATCAGCCTAGCTCACAGCAACCTCAAACTTAACTCCTGGGCTCAAGAGATCCCCCTGCCTCAGCCTCCCTAGTAGCTGGGACTACAGGCATGTGCCACCATACCCAGCTAATTTTTTCTATATTTTTAGTTGGCCAATTATTTTCTATTTTTAGTAGAGACGGGGTCTCGCTCTTGCTCAGGCTGGTTTTGAACTCCTGACCTTGAGGGATCTGCCCACCTCGGCCTCCCAGAGTGCTAGGATTACAGGCGTGAGCCACGCACCCAGCCCAATTTCCCTTAATCTTTGTAACATCTACATCTTGGGAAAGATGTAGGTCAGTTTACCCTTTCTGTAGATGAGGAACCAAGTTCCAGAAAGATTAAACAACTTGCCCAATGTTACACAGGAAGTTGCTGACCTCTGGTCAAATGACCTTCCTGTCACTTTCCCTCACCAGGAATAGAACTGGGCAGAAGGGTGAGGAGAATGAGGAAGGTGGGAGAATATGCCAAATCCTAGGCTGAAGAAAGTTTGGTCTTTCCATCTGGAAGCAAGTAGGTGAAAGGCAAAGAGCATGAATCAGGGGTTAGGAGACCAGGTTTTGGTCTCAGCTCTGCCCAGGCTTCCTACAGCCTTTTGTGAGGTCTTGAGCCCACACACACCTCTGCCCTGGAAGATCAAAGGGAAATTGTATAGTCTTTGAAGCGAGTGAGATAGAATTTATTCATTCACAAATACTTATTAAATTCCTACTATGCACCAGGAAATTTGCTGGGCACTGGGAATATAATGATAATCAAGACAGACTTGGTTTCTGCTTTCCTGGAGTTGACATTCATCCACTGAGATCTGCCAAGTGCCTCGCCTGCCTGAGCCTTGATTTTCTGGTTTATACAATAAGGCTAAATAATCCCTTCCTCACAGTGGTGTTGGGAAGATTAGAGATGATGACTGCCATTCATCAAGGGCCAGGTGCTATGAAGTAGGTATTGTTACCCCTGCCTTACAGATGAGGAGACTGAAGCTCAGGGAAGTATAAACTTACCCAAGTCACATGGCTAGTAAGTGGCTGAGCCAGATCTCAAACCCAGGTCTGTCTGACTGCTGTACAATTCTACCTGTAAAAGTCTCAGATAGTGCTCTTAACACAGTAAGGTGTTTAGGAAATGGGTTCCTTTCCCAAGCCTTGGGTCTTGCTGGGGACCCACCAGAGTCTGAACATTGCAGGCTTAAGAATTGGGAAGCATAAAGGAGCTCACTCTGGACTGGGGGCTGGCTTAGCCTCATCCACCCAGCCTCATCCACCCGGCATGAAGTCGGTGCAGAGCAATAATTGGAAGCCTTGTCTGGGCTCAAAACCACACTCATCCCGTCCATGTTTCATGGATGAACTGGATGAGAGTGACTCCATGCCTCACTTTTTTGATTTGTAAAATAGGGTCTCTTCCAGTTCTAAAGTAGGTATTAGCTGTCAGTTCCAACTCCTAAATAACTCTGGCATCCATCCCCTTTTCTCGAGCCATCTTCTATTCCACTTGTAAGCCTTTTGCTGTCACTAGCCTGGACTATTAAAACAGCCTCCTCAAGATATCTGTGTAAGCTCATGGTTTATTAGATAGACAGTTAGCAAAATGTAGATGTACAGTATGTGTTTATACATATACATAACAGTAAAATGATATATTCAAAATAAATTATGATAGTATTGGATTATAACTCAATGGTTAAAATAGAAATCCATGATTCTAGATTGATATAAATAAATAAAACGAGGGTAAAGGGAAACTTCTTTAAAGTGGAATACTAAATAATAAGTATAGAAGGAATGATGGAGTTAGAAAATCATCAGTGGATGCTCAAACTTTTTCCAAATAAAAGAGCAAACTCTTAAAATATAGCTACAACATCTAGTGCCCAAATCTTGATTTCTAAATACCATTCTGTACCAAAAAGAACTGGACTCTTTGGGAAAGAAAAATGGTTGACTCCAGGGCCAGGGCGTGAAGCCTGGAGCATCTCGTGGTGCCAGAAAACAAGGAAGTGCTCAAAGAAAGATGGAGATGTGCCACAGGACACAGGAGCCAGCTTGGAGGGCTTCCTAACTAGCCAAATCTGGGGCATTTTGAACATCAAAATAAAGAATGATATTAATGGGTCATATATAACCCATTGAGTAAAGCAGACAACTATCAGTCCATAATGATATAAATAATTAGATAAATGTAGAAGGGAAAGTGCAACCTTATAGTGGGAAGCCAACCAATACACATCAAAAGATTGATGGCATTTGAAAATCACCATTTGGCAACCTTGGCCATAATTGTTTCAGGCAAGAATCATCAGTGATCATTGAAACTGATGGGTGAAAGTTTGAGGAGTAACAGAATCTCAATGCATCTCTCCACAAGATAATTCGTCACAAAGAGGAAAATAAAGTGGAGATACTAGATAGCCTAATGTGTCACCTGGTCTTTAGCTACTGCTGAGGCCAGGGTGAGAAAACCTGCTAGAAACAGAGAACAGGGATCAGACAAGGAGACCTGCCTATCTCCACACTTCAGCGTGTGCCCTGCCCACCGCCCAAGCTACTAGCCCTCATTCTTTTCTGGCTGTGCCACTGACATTGCATTCTCTCACACCTCCAGGCCTTTGAATGTGCTGCTTCCTCTAACAAATGCCTTTCTTTACCGGGCTAATTCCTACACACCCTTCAAGATGCCACTAATGGGGCAGTTCCAGAAAAATCTTCCCTGACCCCACTCGCCCACCCCAAGTTGGATTTCCCCTACTCTGTGCTCCCACACACCCAGGGCTTCCTTCTGGGCCTGTGATTATTATATCGTCTTCACATTATCCCCACCAAGCTGTCCATTCCTGAAAGTCTTGTCCTGTACCGTCCAGTATGGTAGCCACTACCCATTTGTGGCTATTTAATTTTATTTTTTTAAGACAGAGTCTTCCTCTGTTGTCCTGGGTAGAGTGCAGTGGCATCATTGTAGTCATCATAGCTCACAGCAACCTCAAACTCCTGGGCTTAAATGATCCTCTTGCCTCAGCCTCCCAAGTAGCTGGGACGACAGGTGCATGCCACCATACCCGGCTGTTTTCTATTTTTAGTAGAGACGGGGTCTTGCTCAGGCTGGTCTTGAACTCCTGAGCTCAAGTGATCTTCCTGCCTCAGCCTCCAAGAGTGCTAGGATTATAGGCATGAGCTACCATGCCAGGCCTTAAAATTTAAATTGAATGAGATTAAAAATGCAAACTGGGTGCAGTGGTACATGCCTGTAGTCCCAGCTACTCGGGAGACTGAGGCAGTAAGATTACTTCAGCCCAGGAGCTTGAGGACAGCCTGGGCAACATAGCAAGATCCTCCATCTCTAATAATAATAAATAAAAAGCAGTTCCTCAGTTGCACTAGCCACATTTCAAGTGCTCAATAGCCACATGTGGCTAGTGGTTACCATATTGAACAGTGCAGATATAGGACATTTCCATCATCACAGACAGACCTACTAGACAGCACTAGTCTAGAACAAAGGACTCTGTGAGATTCTAGGACCTTTGTACTTTGCTGTGTTGTCTCTCCCCATTTGCATCCTCAAAGAGATTGGCAGTAGCACCTTTGATGTAAGAACAGTCAGTGGGGCTGGCACGGTGGCTCAAGCCTGTAATCCTAGCTCTCTGGGAGGCTGAGGCAAGAGGATAGCTGGAGGTCAGGGGTTCAACACCAGCCTGAGAATAGTGAGACCCTGTCTATACTGAATAAAAAAACAAAACAAAAATAAAAAAAATACACAAAGCAACAAAACGCAGCTGGGCATTGTGGCGCGCACCTGTAGTTCCAGCTACCAGGGAGGGTGAGGCAGAAGGATTGCTCACAGCCCAGGAGTTGGAGCTTGCAGGGAGCTACAATCACATCATTGCACTCTATCCAGGGACACTGAGTGACACTCTGTCTCAAAAAAAAAAAAAAAAAAAAAAAAAAAAAAAAAGCAGTCAATAGGCATGTTCAGGTCCTCAGAGAAATGGAGAGGCAGAGGGTCAGGGCAGGCACAGCCCAGTGCTGGGACTGCCATGATGGGAGAAGGAGAACTTAGCAAAGAGCTGACAGAAGCATGAAGAGGTTCCAGAGGGGCCCCAAATTTTGGTACACAGGTTGCATCAATCAGTAAATTCACTAATGCAAAAATACATAACTCTAAGACTTAGCTTAGAAAGAACCATTCATTCATTTGATCAACAAAATTTTAGTGATATCTGTGCTGTGCCAGGCACTGTAGTGAGCAGTACTCTGAACAGACATGATTCAGACCAGTATCAGTCCCAAGCAACTATGGCCTGGTGGGGAAGATAGATAATGACATGAAGGATCTCGAAGAATGTGATGAAGGGCACATTTTGTGAAGGATGGGTTCTTTAAGCCCATCTTGCAAGGGTGGGGAAACCTTCATCAGGGATGTTGGGAGGGGTATGTCTGGCAAGGGGAAAGGCACAGGTAAAATACTGCGGTTGGAAAGTATACACAGGCATTTTCAGGGAACAGTGAGCAGAGGGCCAAAGTATGGGTGAGGAATGAGTTAAGACTACAGATATCTTCAGCTGGGCCACCCTATGGGGAACCTCCCAATGTCAAGACAAGGAGTTTGCATCTTTTTCTGTAGGTGGCCTGTGTGTCTGGCAGGAAGTAGGCACTTCACGTACATCTGTTAACAATTGTCCTGCAAAATCGTCATCCCAATTTTACAGGTAGAAGACCAGGCTCTGAAGGGCTGGGTGACTTGCCAAAGGCAGCAGAGTCAAGTCACTGAGCCAGGAGTTGAGCACTAAAAAAAAAATGAGCTTTGGGAAGATGCAATCAGCATCAAGCTGAAGGCAGGAGAAAGGGGAGCAGCCAAAGGTAGTCCAGTGCGGTCCAGCAGGGAAGATACCAAAAAACGCTGATTGGACTTGATTTCAGGACCCACTGGGTCTAAGCTCTTCAAACACTCAAGTCTGGTCCATGAGGAAGCATAAAATGCTTAGATGGCCCCAGCTCCTGCTTTTGCTAGTTGTCATCCCTGGGATGCCTTTAAATGTGCATATGAGGAAAAAAACAAAGACCTTGGTCCAAGCTGCTAAAGAGTGGGGCCATCCAAACATTTCCCTTTTAGAGGCCATCCCAGATTCTAGGAAGGCAGCAAAAATATTGACTGAATGCTGCTTCTGGGGACTTTGCTTTCCCTAACTAAGAGCCATTGCTTGGCCCCATCTCTCTTGTGCCAAGCCAAGACCCAGGATATAATGAGTGGTGCTAGAAACACATCTGTTTCATAGAGAAGCAGTTTGGGGGACTGGAAAGGGGCCTAGGCTACAAGTCAGGAACCCCCACCCTGACTTGTAGTGTCACCTTAGGAAAGACTCTTCTCTTCTCTCAGCCTGTCCCTTCCTCTGTAAATGAAAGGGAGCCCAGCTATTTGTTATCTAACATTCTAAGTATACACAGAGAGCTCTTAAAATGTATCTAGTCCCTTCCGAGTCATCTCCCTACCCTCAAGGACAGAAATGTGACCAGCCACTGGGGGGCATGGTGCACCAAGGCAAAGCCAGGCCAGCCATAGGGTGAGATTAGATGCCACAGGAGTGGAAGGAAGTATCCATCCTGGGAAAAGAAGACAAGGGAACTAACTTGCTGAACTAACTCCATCCCAGCTGCTTGACGTCCCTTACCTCCACGCAGCAATGGCTTATCACCTTGAGTTTCAAATGGAGGAAACTGAGACTCAGAGAGGGTGTCTCGCCCAAGTTCATACACCTAGTGAAAACCCCAGGATACGAACTGCATCAACTCCAAAGCCCATACTCCTGCCACTCTGTCACGCAGACTGTATATGAAATGAGACAGGAACACCTCCCTCACCCCCATCTCCCACCCAACCAAAGCATCTCGCCCACCCAGTTGCCTGAATCTCTACTGTTACCGCATCACCTCCCTGGGCTATGGCCTCTCTCTCCATGGGCTCCACAGTGGGGAAGGGGGGCGTAAGTAGGAGGCAGAGGCGGGAGGTGAGCACAAGGTCTTTTATGAGGCATCAAATATACATTCTTATATACAAGGAGGAAAAAAGACAATGCCTGAACCCCAGCTCCTCTCCATACAGTCCCTCCCACTGCCACCCTCCCCTGCCCCCAAGCCCCAGGGTCCCTGGCCCTTTGTACGGCCAGGGTCCATCTGTCTGTCTGTCTATCTGTCTGTACTGCAGCCGGTGGTGGAGAGAGGAGAAGGAGGCAGGAGCTGAGAAAGGAGCTGGATATGCGGGGCAAGAAGAGGAGCTGGGGCTTGTAAAAAATATATTTATAATAAATAAACAGGCTGCAAAAGGGCTGGAGAGGCAGCGGAGATTTTGATGGACAGAAGGACTCAGGCATCCTGGCTCCCAGCCCCGGCTCTGATGGCTTCAATCTCTGCCTCAGGAAGGACATCTTGGGCTCATAGTGGCCCTCTGGGAGCATCTCTCCCCAGGGCCGATGCTGGGTGCCCTGCCCCAGAGAGGTGTGTGTGGGCAATATCTGTAAAGTGCATTGTCTTCAGTTGTAGGGGGGTAGGTGTAAGAGAATGAGGGGGGGCATGCAATATGGGTGAGGGAGGGCAGTGCCCTTCTCATCCCAGACCTGAGCTCCCCCAAAACCTGTCTGGACTTTGATCAGGAGGATAAGAACATTGCAGGGCGAGGCAAGTTCCTGAAGCCAAAGAGGTCTGGGCTGGGGCCTACTGGAGAGAGAGCATAGACTGGCTCGAGAGAGGAAGCACTGCCCCATTTGGGGCCAACACAAGCGGGGTCCCACCCACCAAGTGCATTGACAGTCTGTGTCCTCCATCAGACAGAAGGACACATGGAGGTGTGTGGCCAGGCCCTGAGGTCAGAGAGAGGGCTGAGCCAACTGAGGTTTGGCCACAACTCTACAGAGCGCTCTCCTAGCCCCACACGGCCAGAGGAGCCCTAGGGAAGCCTTCACCCCTCCAGCTCTGGACGCCTGCCCTTCTCCACCAGCCAGAGTTGAAAGGGAGCTCACACTGGCCTGGAGGTCTGAGGCCACAGAGCTAGACCTCCAGGGAAAGGGCAGGTGCAGAGGAAGACAGGAAAAAGAGAAAAAGGATCTCTGAAAAGCCCTCACCACTCCCCAGCACTGGAGCACCCTGAGTCCAGGATTCAAGTGGCAAGGGTCTTTGAATCAGGAAGGAAACCCCATGGCAACCGCAGGGGGTTAGAGAAGGGCCCCAAGACAGGGAGGAAGTGGGGAGGAGGACATTGCTATGTTATATATATTTCTGAAAAAACTGAGGAAGCAGAGAGGGTGCAAGGTCCCTCTCCTGTGGATTCCCCAGAACGTCCTGTTCCCCAGCTCACTCTCTTCATTCATCAGACCACGGTGCTGATCCGGCTTGGCTTGGCCTTGGGGTTCGCACTGGGTGGGTTGGCTGTGCCAGGGGGCCCAGAGGCGTGCAGCGGGCCGTGGGGAGAGGTGGGTGGCAGGGGTGAGTGCGGGGTGTGAGGTGAGGGTGGGGGCAGGGGTGGGTAGGAGGGGTGGGGTGGGATGGGTGAGTGTGGTGACAATGGTGACTGGGGGTGGTGGGGGTGTGAGTAGGAGCCTCCTGGTGGCCGGGATCCAGGGCCCCCGGCAGCGCCTGCTGCTGGCATCATCTGTGGGTGGTGACTAAAAATGAAGTGCTTAGGGCCCTGTTTGTGGGCTGGAGGGTGCTGGGGGGCAGGACTGTACAGGGGCAATGGGGACGTGGGTTGGTGGAGGGGGTGGCGGCCATGTGGAGCAAACTGAGGGTGTCCTCCAGCTCCCCGCCTGGGGGCCCTGCCTGGCCGGCCCAAGGTATAGTGCTGGGGCCCTGGGACTGGGCCATGGGCATGGAAGTGGCGATGTGGCCCCACAGGTGGGGCTGAGGCGGGAGGTGGTGGAATGGAGCCCAGCTGGGGCAGGGGAGGGGGCTGCTGAGGGGGTGGGGGTAGAGGGGGTTGCTGGGGAGGGAGGTAGGGCGGCGGGGCAGGGCCTGGTCCTTGGCAATACTGGGCATGCAGGGCCTGGAGCTTGGACTGCCCGTCAGGCAGCACCCCCAGGCCACCGTGGCTGTGACCGTGGTGGTGGTGGTGGTGGTGGTGGTGGGTGGAAGAAGCAGATGAAGAGGAGGCAGAGGCCTGGCCTGTTGGCGGTGGTGGCATCTGGAAGGGCCCCTTGCCCCGCTTGCTTCCAAATAGGGAGCCCAGGAAGGATGAGGAGTTGGAGATGGGCCTCTGGCTCTTGTACTCCTCTGGCGGCGGGGGTGGGGGCGGAGGTGGCATCCTCTGGTGAGGGCGTGGACTGCTAATAACAGACCCCTGGAAGGGGGGAGGGGGTAAGTCAGGTTGGTCTAGACATCCTAAACCCCCAACCCTAAACTCCACCCCTGTCCCTGAGGGCTGAGGCTGGGGAGACAGGGACCCCCAAGTCATAATTGAAACCAAGTAACAGTCCTGTGCTTGTACATGGAGCTCCCCAGCTTGCAAAGCTCTGCTGTCACAACCATTATCTCAGCTGAGCCTCAGCTAGGAGAGGAAGAAGTAGCAGTACCTTCTCCTCATCCCCATTTTGCAGGCAGGGAAAACGTTAGGCCCAGAGAGGCAGAGCGACTTGCTGAGGGTCAAAGAGCAGGACTTGGAGGTAAGAGCTTCTTGTGGCCCAACTCCAAGCGCATCCCTACTCAGAGTCAGCCCTGAGGTTGAGAGGGGGCACGGGAGAGTGGAAGACAGACTGAGAGACAGGCAGAATGAGGACAGACAGAGTTGAGGACAGATGGAGAGAGTGGTGGCTGGGAGAGGCAGCCGCATGGTTCCCAGCAGGGAAGAGGAGGGAGCAACAGGTCCCCTCCTCCTCTGGGGCTCCATGGCCAGGGCAGGGCTCATGCAGAGGATGAGTGGGGCAAGAGCTGGCACTTACTTCGATGGTGCTGTCCAGCGATCCCACGCTGTTACGCCGCCCCCGCTTCCCTGCACCCACAAGCAAGGAGCCCAGCGTCAGAGCAGCAACCCTTCTTCCCCACCCTGATGGGCTCCAGAGCTGGGTACCAGGCCTAGGCCCCTCCCGGGGATAGACACCCCATTATCCCTTTACCCCATTGAAAAGGGGGAGGTGGGGAGGAGGAGAAGTGGAGAAGGAGGAGAGAGAGGAGGATAAGATGGAGAAGGAGGAGCGGTGGTACAGGAGAGACAGAAGAGGGAGCAGAGGAGGAGAGGTGGAGCAGCGAGAGAGAGGGGCCAGGACTGTGGCCCCCACTTCACACGCCCTGGCCCCAGTGCTGGGCTCCATCTGATTTGACCTGGCTCCCAGGCCCCTGCAGCACAGCGCCCAGGGCTCTGGGTGAAGGCAGGGTGTGTGCGTGTGCGGCAGGTGGAAAGAAGGCTGGCGGCCAGTGACAGGAGGCAAAGAAGACACCTGGCCCCTCGTCTCCCAACCCAGGGCAGGGGCCCAGAAGACCTACCTGCATCCGAGAGGTCTCGCAGGGAACTGCTGAGTGCGCCCCGTTTGAGCCCATCGCCTGCACCATAAGTATCTTCCAGGCTACTGCGGGCCAGCGTCCCATTCACTGAATCCTTGGCCCCTCCGGGCTGTGAGGCGTTAGGCCGCATCATACCTTTCTGCTTCTCCAGCTCCGCTGGGTGGCAGTGGGGGGGACAGGGAGCAAAGGTCAGGAACAGGAATGATAGTCCACCTGATTTACCTCAGTGCTCCATGGGCCTTCCTCCTTTCTTCTCCCGCCCCTATCCCCTGGGCCTCCTGTTGTACCCCACACCTGTTTCCCTCCAAACTGCAGCTTCATCTCCAAAGCTCGTCAGTACCCAACCCCTGTCTCACACCCTCTGTCCCTACTCAGTCTTCCCTTCATCCCTCTCAGTCCTGCTTCCTGCTCCTTTCCTCTTCTTTTTGCCCTCTCCTTCCTCTCCTTCTCCCCTCCCTTGCTGTCGGTCTCCCCAAAGCACCCCTGCCCTTCAAAAATGAGCTTCACAGCAGATGGTTCAGAGTAAGAACAGGATGGCCCTTACAGTCCATGGCAAAGGGCAATCTTTCCAGAGTTCACTCTGTTCTCAGATACCTTGCTCCAGAGCAGAGGGACTCCTAGCAGGGCAGGAGCAGGAAAGTGACAGTAGTCTAATCCTCTACCACACACCAGTCAGTATGCTGGGCGCTACACACACTTGATCTCTCTCAGTCCTCACAAGAATTCTGAGGTAAGTGTTAGCATCCACATTGCACAGAGGAAGAAACTGAGAATCCGAGAGGTCTTAGAGCTTGCCCAGGGTCATATCGCTGGAAATGGTGGAGCTGACATTCTGGAAGCAGGTCTGCCTGATTCCAGAGCCTGGGCTCTCCTGGCCTTACACCCCACCTCCCCATGGAGGTCATGGAAACACTTGTCTATTGCCCTCCCCTACTCATCTTGGTCTGCTAATCTCTCTCTGGATTTCCCCAAGGTCTCAAGGACATCTGATGAACTGCAATTTCTGACCCAGTCTTGCTGAGGAGTAGAATAGACCCTGGAACTGTGAAGGCCTCACCAAGGAGCTGTCCGCCGCCTCTGTCTCTCTCTCTCTCTCTCTCTGTCTGCCTGCCTCTTTCTCCTTAACACCATGTTACTTAACTGTGACTGCTTAGCCTGGAGAAGAGAAAACTTGGAGGGCATCGGGAGGAATGAGATATAATCACTATTTTCCATTACGTATATGATCAAAATGGCATGGTGTGGCTCCTGGGGACTGGGAGATTGGCCACTGGGACTCAGCTCAGGAAATGGTATGTGGGGAGAGGAGAGGAGAGGAGAGGAGAGGAGAGGAGAGGAGGGCTTTCGGCCGAAGCATCGGCATCATACGGGGACCAGGCAGTCCCGGTGTTCGGAATTGAGTCAGGGAACAGCTGCTTGGGGTAGGCAATGGACTCTGACCCGGGTGATGGCAGGCTCCCAGTGGGAACCTGAAGCTGCTTTCTCTAGGCAAAGAACCTTCCGGCAGACCCTAAGGACCAGAGGGACGTGAGGGTCCCTCAGCGCAGCCATCTGGAGAGCAGACTGGGCGAGGGAACAGGATGAGGGGCCCACCCTGCGGCACACTCCTGTGGGAGCCTTGGTTCTGCCTGTCGGGTCCACGGACCAAAGCCAAATAATGGAAATGCCAAATAATGGCTCCTGAGAAGGAAACGGGGCTGAAGACAGAATGAAAGAAACAGCAAAGATTACAAGAATAGGGAGGGAATGACGGCAAAAGTGGGGCGAGTGTGAGGAAGCAGCGGGTCACAGCTCTAAGGGAACGGGTGAGACCGGCCGCGTGGGCCAGCCAGCGCTGGTCCCTCGGTAGGAACACGGCTGGGAGCACAAGTCGCTTTCGCGTCACGGGGAATATGAGCAAGGCTGTGGCAGGAGGGCCCACCAGACGCCCGTTCTGGGCTCTGGCTTCGCTGTCAGGGGCTCAGTGACTCTTAGGTTCTGGGGGCTAAAATCCTGGCGGTCACTGCAGCTTTCTAATGAAATACGCAGGATTTACCAGTTGGGGGTGACCCCGGGACCCCCTGGTTTTATTCTGTTGGCCCTGTCCTCTCTTTAGCCACTTGGGTGCAGCCACCGCGCGGTCGGCGCGGGGTCTGCGCTGCGTGGCGTTGCCCCTCTTGCTCTGGTGGGGTGAGGACAGCTTGGCAGCGCTGAGACCTTGTTGCACTTTATGGGCAGCTTGCCATGTCAGTCAGAATAAGTAACATAGACAAATATGCTTTCATTATGTTATTTTTAGATGTTCACAGTTTTATTTTGATAAATGAAGAGTTAGAAAAGTCATGTCACGGCTGTCGGCTGCAGTCGCTGTGCGCCTTCATCTGCGGCTGTCGACTGTAGTCGAC